CTTACAAATAATTGGCATTGTTTGTGTAAAAAATTCCATGATTCTTTTAAAAAATAATTATCCCCCCATCTGTTTACTTTTGACTTTCGGTACTGTAATAACTCTAGAATTATTTGTATTCTTCATATTTGTTTTATAAGCCAACATTTAAGCAGTGAAAAGAATACTTTGAAATATTGTTAGGAATATTCTATATTCAGATTTTAAATCTTTATTATTTTAATAAGAATTTTATCAGGTGATGGAAAATTTTTTTGCCTATATTGGAAGCCGAGAAATAAAGTGCTTTTCTTCTGTACCAAAATCTTGTTCAAAGAAAACCTGATTCTATAATTATTATAGTATTTTTTGCAGACCATAGGCTAACTTTGTGAGAACATTTCCTTCATCTTCATTATACATCTTTTTCCGAGGATAGATAGTAAGTACTAGCATACTTTTTATGGGAAGCTATTGTTGACAGCAAGTTTAAAAGCCAGGAGTGGGGCTTCCCTGGTGGCGCAGTGGTTGAGAGTCCGCCTGCCGATGCAGGGGACACGGGTTCGTGCTCCGGTCCGGGAAGATCCCACATGCTGTGGAGCAGCTGGGCCCTTGAGCCATGGCTGCGGAGCCTGTGCTCCGCAATGGAAGAGGCCACGACAGTAAGAGGCCCGTGTACCGCAAAAAAAGAAAAAAAAGCCGGGAGCAAGAGAAATCACATAGCACTAAATTATTCTGAGATTTTGTGTCACCAGTGGTGCACTAAATATACAAGTGATGCTTTGTGGCTACATATCTTTGCCATAAACAGACTATTGTACATAACTCCAGTTTATATGTGTTTAATGTAATAAACTATTTTGAAAGTTTTATGAAACAAATATTGCCCCAATGATAAGATATTTGAAGACTGCTGGAATGATTATAGCTGGAAGAAATTTAAAAGTTTGAAAGATATTACACCCTCATATTGTGGAATATACTGTGAGGCTATGCATGTATCTTGCTTCTGAAATATTTTCATACTAATTTGAGCATTCATCACTGGATCTTGCATTTAGCCATTATTACTGTGGTGTCCTAATGATGCTTTTCTAGCTCCCTTATTTGTTCTATATTTATTGATTAGAATTCTTCTGTGAGGATGATTTATCTCTTCTCCCTTATTTATTTATTTAATCATTTATATTAGTAGGGACTCATGGACGTTTATTTTATTTTTTGTCATTATCCAATACTATTGTTATTCTTTTCCTCACATTGTTTCCGGTTTAGCCATTGGAGGCTCTCCCAGTAGGCTCCGTTGTCCTTTTGCCCTACCTACCCCTTTGTGTCCTCCCTTCTCTTTTCCCACTGTCCCTGTCTCCCTCCCTCTCTTCCTGCCTTCCTTCTATCCTTCTTTTCTTTCTTTCTTTCAGTACTTTCTGTACTTGCTGGCACTACAAGATGTTTCAGGCATATCTTTTATTTCCCCTGCCAACAGCACTAGAATCAGCAATTTTCCCAAAGATCTCTGGTTCTTTTTATTCAATAATGGTATTTTGAAAGAAATATCTGGGTATGTGTATGTGTCCTTACCACTGGGGTATCACTGCTTCTAGACCCTCTCAGTCAACAGAGCTAGACACCATATATATGTATACTAGCTCGCATACACACATATATTTAAACGTATACCTATCTCTGTATGTATTAAAAATAAACATACATTCATATTGATATGTCTGATTCTAATCCAGAACATTCGTGTCTATTCCAGCACTCCCAACTTGCTTATTTTATGGTACCTTATTGTAAAAGAGAAATCTGGCTCTCATCTATAATATTTTTTACCTATTAATTGAAACATACTATACATATAAAGTAGAATCAGAATTGCTAAATGGTAGCCCTGTGACAAATTTTCCAACTAGAGTACAATTTTCGTTCACAGTTCTTTATGATTTTAGCCTTATAAGATCTGAGAAAACTTTTCCAGAGTTGCGTAGTTTAGCTCATTTCTTCCCCACCCACTTCTGTGGGCTTATGTCATATATTTGCAATAGGGTTAGATTTGTCACAATCTGCATTCCATCCTGCCTTCCCTACATCCTGATTATTTTTTTTTCAATTTGAATACAGTAAGTCACTGTTTATAGTGTATAGTTCTATGGGTTTTGACTAAAGAATAGTGACACATCTACACAGTAATATAATGGGATAGTCCCATAACCCTACAAATTACATTTTGATGTCCCTTTGCATAGAAATATTCCCTTTCCCCCATCTCTTGGAAAGCCCTGATATATTTCCTTTTCCTACAATTCTGCCTTTTCCAGAAGACCACGTGAATGAAACAATATAATATGTAGCATTGGGGGTCTTTATAATTCTTGTCTAAAATTGCAAAGTTCAGGGAAGTTATACAAAAAGCAAACTGAACATCTAGGGTGCTGTATATGCAGGACATCATCTTGCCTATACCATCTGTTTTTGAACAGATTTTTCTTCCTCCCCTCATTCTATATCTTTTATTTTTTCAACAAAGTTGCAATAGTCAGCATGTTGCAGGAAGTCAAGTTTCTGTTTGAAGTTTATGCTGTCTAGATGAGACTAGAGATGGTGATAAATGGTATGAATAGGTTAATTTTTTTCCAAGAAATTTTATGCATCTTCTCGGAAATTAAGTCTCAAAACTAGAATTCATTCTTCAAAGTTTTGACAAAATTGGGAATTCTTCCCACTTTTGAAATTCTGATAGTCATGGATGATTTTCTACTAGTAGCAGAGGTCGCATTTTCTTATCTAATAGTTTGACTCAACCAGAGTTTAAGAGTTTGTAAGATAAGTCCTACTGAGTGATGGTAATATTCTCATTGAGGTAACTGAACAAATGAGCCAAGCTAGGGGGTGCTGCTCAGTTCATGAGGCTTCTTTGTATCTAATTGAACTAGAGGGCATGCTGGCTACAATGGTTTTGAAGAATGCCCTGTTCCTCCACACCCTTCTAAATACGGACCCTCGCCAAGTTCAGGCCTCCAAGTCTGTGGGGAATCCAGAGACCTGGGTCTGAGTGCCAGAAGAAAACCCATAACAGTGTTTCTGAGCTGTTAGCTTCCGGAGAAATAGATTTAGGATCATGTCTTTTTATCTAAGTGACTTCTTTCAGTTATTATTACTTTTTTCTGGTTGTAGATGTTACTTAGCACTATACTGGCTGTTGATATTTTCTTTTCTTAAGAACCATGTTCTTGGGACCTCCCTGGTGGTCCAGTGGTTGAGACTCCGTGCTTCCACTGCAGGGAGCACAGGTTTGATCCCTGGTTGGGGAACTAAGATCCCGCATGCCACGCGGCCAAAAAAGAACCATGTTCTATTCACAGTTTCAACTTCCTGTGTGTCAACCCCTCTTGACTGCCCCTCTGACCTTGGGGGTCTTTATGGTAATTGTAGCTTCCTGCCCTCTGGTGATTAAATACCACCTCCTGGCCTCCTGGCCAGGCCATCGTCTTCATGGATATCAATGAGCCCAGCTCTGTGTTCACCTCTCCCGCTCTTAACTCATGTCTGTAGAGGAGAATCTCCAATAAACATCTTAGCGATGCTGAGTGTCCCTCTCACCAGTACATTCCTGATGGCCTTCATTGAATAGTGCTTTGTCTGGCCCTCTGGTGGAACACAATCTATTGGTGGGTGTTCTGGCCTCAAATTCACCCCAGCAGACTTAAATGTTTTGGCCACCCTGATCGAGCACCCGCAGAGCTTCCTACCAGGTAAACTCACCTGGCTTCTGCCTGTAGGTTCTGATCCTTTCAATTCCTCTTTCCTCTCATATCAAGTGCAACATGTCCCCCATCAGGTTATGGTGGGACCTATTCCTAGATAAGGGCCTAACAGCCAAAAGAGTAGGTGGGTGAAACTTCTGAGGTGGATACATGTTCACTTGAGGAAAAACTCTGCAGCATTTTCCAGTACAGAAGTGCTAGCTCTTATTTAGAAACAGGTGGTGGTGGGCACCTTTCCAAGATCTGAGGGTCCAGGTGGTTTACAAAGCCAGTATCCTCGGGAGCAACCATCTACATATCAGCATCCATGTTACAGGGTCCCAAGTTTTTTTCCCTCCTGGTGCCCTAACGTTAGCGTAACAGACCTGCAGTGGCTAAGATTTAAACATCTCTGTGTGACTCTAACTTATAGGGTTCACAAAGTTCCAGAACTAAGTTTTTGTATCTAATTGCCCTGACTTGGAGTAGATGAATAACTCTGAAATAATCCCCATTACCAGGAAAGCAAGATATTTCCACTGAACAGGTCAGGGTCATGCACATTGGAGTCACAGCAGGAGTTGGCATCACTTGAAGCACATGTGCAGAGAGTGGGGGACGATTCCTTATTTCCAAGCAAAATCCAGGTACTGTTTCCATAAAAGGAAGGTAGTGCTAAGTAGCAAACCTACAAATATCAAAAGAAAGCATGACCATAGATTGATTCCTATTTATTAAAATATTTATACCTTCTGAGTTATTTGGAATCAAAATGAGCATTAAAAAAAAGAAAGAATACCTTAATAAAACACCAGTTTGGGGCAGCCAAACCTCATGTCTTAGATCCAAAAATGTTCTTTCACTTGCAGTCCTTCCACTTGTCTTCCAGAGCCTAGAACACCTGACTCTTCGGGAAACTGGAGAATGGAGGGAAGAGCCTCATTTATAGAAAGACTCTCACCAGTGGTTTATCCATTCGTTCAAGGAAACCAGCTTTGAGCCTACTATGTGATAGCGGCGCTGAGCTGAATATGTAGATCTAGTCTCATAATCTCAGTCCCATTGCTGGCAGAGCTCTCAGGCAGTCCAGAGGGTATGCATGAGGAAAGAAAAGAAACTCCAGGAAGGCAGTGAGAGCGGACAGGTGGCAGTGATTAAGGGCAAATTATGCCGAGGCCAAATGACAGTGTAATACTGTGCTAATAATTATTATCATTACATGAAGCGTTGGAGTAACGGTGACTATTCCCACGCACTGTGCTAAGAAGCTGAGAGTAGATGTCCTTGTGTGTGACTATAATCAACTTTGGAGCGCTCCGAAACCCGCCCTCCGTCGTCGCCTCAGACACTCGCACCCACTTCCCAGGCGGCGAGACTGGGTTGTTCCTTAGCGACCGCCACCAACTTGCCCGCAACCTGCCCGGATCCGGCCGACCAGAGTGGGACGCCCGGGACGCCACGCCCAGGCCGAGGGCAGGCCCACCGGTGGGGCCGACCCGGGTGCGAGGCAGGTGGATGGAGGCGCCTCCGGCTCCCGACTCCCGCCCCCTCCTCCTCCCCTTCCCCAGGTGGGCCAGCGCGCGCGGGCCGGGAGCAGGGAGGCGGCCTGAGGGCGGCGACGGCGGCGGCGCGGCCGGGCGGGTCCTGAGGCCACGGAGCGCGTCGGAGCGAGCGCACGAGATCCGCGGCGCGCCTGCGCTCCCGGACGGGAGAGGCGCCCACCGGCCGCAGCGGAGGGAACCAGGGAGCGCCAGGGGTAGGGCCGCTCTCGCGTCGCCCCCAAGAGCCGCCCGAACGGCGGGGCCGCGGCGAGCAGCCGCGGAGGCCGAGGACCCGGGAAGGAGGACCCCGCAGACGCTCGCAGCCCGAGGGAACCAGCAGGGACCGGGCGGTCCTCGGCGACTTGGAATGTTGACTCCAGAGGCGGCGCGCACGGTCAGGGCAAGTTTCTCGCGGTTCGAAAAGAAGGAGTCCTGCAACTGACACTCATTTTATTTAACTAGCTTTTCCTCTCTTATTTAAATAAGTTTATTTAGACCAAGAGGAAATGCTTCCCTGGAGTATTTGGGGTTGAGAACATTGTCCTGAAAGTTTTTGTATGCTGAGGTTATTTTTGTATGTATATTTGTTAACTTCCTATCTAATTAGAAATCCTTAAAATATTCTTAAAGGCGCATTACAGGATCGCTGTGGCGCTTGGGCATCTTGTTATCAAGTTAGTTAGAATCTGTCTTCCAGGTGTGGGATCAAAGCCAGTCCCTCGCGGATGGGTTTTGCTTATTAGGCTTTTGCGCGCTGAGTCTCACCAGGTTCTTAGATCTTGTGTGGCTGATTTGAGTAACGTGCTACCGCGAGGTTATGGGGCCTCTACCAGTGTACGTGCTTGTGAAGTTTGTTTCCAAAGGGAAACAGGTGGGGATGGATCGTGCAGTTCTCTGCTCTGTCCTGCCTGGCTGAAAATTTTCTCACGTGCCGATATTAGCTGCTTGAAGTTTAACTTCAGGTAAGTGTGTCTATCCAAAAATAATGACTCGTAAACATGTTAACTTTAAAAGAAATGAAACACTTTTCTCTTAAGTTTAGTTACTGAGACAAAGTTGACCAAGTAACTAGTTTTGTTCTCTTAGTTGAAATCATTTAAATTAAATACAGAACAAAACAAACACCTCTTATCACTGTGAGTTATCTGTGTCTCTTTTTGCAGCATTCCAGCGTTGAGAAGTGGGGAGCAGCCCCTTTTAATTTTGATCTTCATCAAAAACTTGTTATTGCCTCTTCAGTAGGTTTGTTAAACAAGCTAAGTCTTCCATTGCTTGAGGGACTAGAATTGTGTAACGTATCAGGGATTCCTGCTCGACATAATGTATTTTAATATCTTTTTCAATTAGTTCCTCTTACTGGGAACTTATTTGAATCTCAAATTTAGTTAGGATTGAAGTTTTACTTCTTTTATAAACAATTGTAATATAGCAACATATGCAATCTGGAAGGATTTTGAGGAAAGCACTTTAAAAAACTGGAAATATCTACATTGAAATACTAATACTTAAATACTGAGACAAGTGAAACTGATCAAACACTTAAGCATCCTTTCTTTGCCCTTAGCAAGCCATACTGGAGCAGAATACCTTTTAAGAGGATTTCTCAAAAGTCTACATAAAACATGCATTTTTAACTTTCCTGGACTTCAAATATAAAGTAGAGATCTTTAAAAACAGGACTATACATGCCAAGAGGCTTCTCTAACAAAGCTTATCTCTTTTTCTCCTATTCCCACAGTATCTGCCTTCCCCATGATATGCTAACTAGTTTTACGTAAATGCTCTTAACAGGAAAAATAGGAGGACATCTCCTCACATATGTAAAATCTTGACCCAAAACTGGTCTCAGTTTAAATTTTTATTTAGCATCTTTAAAAAGAAGGGATTTTAAAATAATAAAATCTTAAAACAACACTTGCATTTTTGTGAAGAGATTTGTTATTACTTAATTTTGTTGATTTACAATAAGGCATTTCCTTTTAGCTATTTCTTGGGGGTGGGAAATAGTATTTCTGAAAATTATGGCAAATATCTGAGTAATTTTGATAAAATGAAAGTTATTTTTAATGATAGATGGGAAAGTATTTTAATCTTTTTACTGGACCATATATCATACAGGTGAAGTTTATTATGAGCTGAAATTGAAATATACAATGGTTGAGATGGGTTTGGGGAAATTGTAACTTTAGATTTTTTTTTAATTCGGGGAATGTTTAACTTTCTTGCAGTCAGGGTGTGCCTTAGCTGCCCTTTGGTGATGAGGGCCAATTCACAATAACTTACAGCTGCGACTCCTCTGACACCCACTCCACAAACTTCAGGTCTTTCTCAAGGTAAAGTGCCATTTTTATTGTAATCTTTCTGTATTTTTCAATTGTTTAACGTGTTTAAAACTGTGCTGTCATATTAATTCGGTTCCTAGCTTTATTTTTATTGATTGATTGATTGATTGCGGTACGCGGGACTCTCACTGCTGTGGCCTCTCCCGTTGCGGAGCACAGGCTCCGGACGCGCAGGCTCAGCGGCCATGGCTCACGGGCTTAGCTGCTCTGCGGCATGTGGGATCTTCCCGGACCGGGGCACGAACCCGTGTCCCCTGCGTCGGCAGGTGGACTCTCAACCACTGCGCCACCAGGGAAGCCCCTAGCTTTATTTTTTATGTGTCACTGACAGAGTTTCTGAGTGATGTCTGCCTAACTCCATGTTTCCCATAGGCCTTGTAGTTTATATTGCAAGATTTTTTCAGTTTGGTGACTTTTTTTAGCACTGCATGTGTTAGATTATAGCAGAACTGCCTGTATATGTGCCTGTATATGTTTATATAGCTACTTTATTATGTATGTTCTGAAATGTATCATTTGTGGGATAAATAATGTAATTATAACTATTGTAATGCTGAGATATATCTGTTTCAGTTATCGCTGTATATCAAACAATTCTGGAACTTGGTAACTCAAATTAAAATTAAATTAAAAGCTTAAATGAAAAGCTTAGTAGCTTTTAATATCTCTCATGGTTCCGTGGCTTGACTGGGCTCAGCTGGGCAGTTTGCGGCTGCCCTCACTTGGGGTCTCATGTGGTTATAATCAGATGGCAGCTGGGGCTGGAGACGTCTGAGGTCAGCTAGTAGGTTATGATGATAGTGTGTCCCTCTCTCTCCAAGTAGCCCCAGGGCTGGTGTCTCCATGTGTTATCCCTAACAGAGTAACCATATTTCTTATATGGAAACTCAGGGTCATCAAGAAGCATAAAAGTGGAAACCGTCGGGCATTCTTAAGCCTTAGACCTGGATCTGCACAGCAACACTTTCCCCACCTCCAGTAGGCTAAGCAGTTACAGGGCATCCCTGACTCTAGAGATGAGAAATCAGCAGTATCCCTTGATGGGGAAAATAGCAAAGCATCTGTGACTGTCTTTAATTCACTGCAGTATTCTTCACTAACAGTTTTTTAGATGAATATCGTTAAGATTTCAGAGCCAGAAGATTCTTAGCAATCATTTAATCTAACAACATCAATTTACATGAAAGGGTATAGGAGCAAAGTATCACAATAAAAGACCTGGAGCTATAACCCTCTCTTATTGTTTTAAATTTCTCATAACCCATGGAAATCTGCTGGGATATGGCAGGTAATAAATATATACTTGCTGAAATAGAAATTCATTAGTAAATAAAACCTAAGCTTCTGATAATATTCCACGTAAAGGAGCACCCATGTTTCTAACTAACTTATTAGAAACATGCTTACATTTTCCAAAAGGCACTAAGACTTGAGAATTATTTTAAATGATAGCAGAACAAGATATTTCTGGATATCAAGGAAGATTAACTATTTTTAAATAATTACTGTGCCTTCTTCAAACACACGCATACACAAACACAGAGAAATAGAATTTTACAAGACAGTGAATCTAAGATAAATCTTCTGTTCCTAAGGAATATATGGCATCCTTGTGGTCTAATACCAAGTTCATTGTGCCTTAGGTAATGTTTGACCCCTCACATTCATCTCACTCCAAAAGTGTCCTTAAGAGACGTTTTTGTCAATAATGTGTAAATATACATTTACTGTGTAAATGTGCACTTCTTACACAATAAATTAGGATGAGGAAACCTGTTTTTATTAACAAAAGGTTACTCTCCTAATGAAAACAAGAAGGATGATATTCTTTCATGCCTGAATTTAAAAATACATGTACTCAGAAAACTCATTATATGTACAACATAACAGGGAAAAAAAATCTATTGGTTTAAGTGAGGCACATAATGAACTGTTTTCAAACTTTCCTGACCTTCAGTATGTCTATCCATCTCAGTTTAGCTCCCCCCACCCCCTTTCTTTTAAACTGGTGTTATCATCTTCTAATGTTTACGTCAATTACCCCAATTTAAAGACACCAGTGGAATTCTACTCCTCTATGTTTTCTCTTTTAGCTCCCTTCTTTCCCTCCTAGGTGTTTTAATTCTGATAGCAGTTATTCTTTCATCTTTATTTATAAATGTTTTCTGTATTCCATTTGTTTCTCAAAAAACAAACATTTATTGCCTTTTATATTTTTGGAACTGCTTAAATGTCCATTTTTCTATTGGGGTTTTTCTTTTTCTTATTGATTTGTTAGTCTATTACTTCATGAAGAAGATAATGTGTTAATTGGAAATAATAGTAGTTGCTTACTTTTTCTAGTATTTTTCTTCATTCTTGTAAGTAAAGGAAATAATGAATTTCCTAATGAATTCAGATTCTGCTGTCAACAATAATGTTTCTTTTTTCTTTTATACCGTAAATAGAATGTTATGATTTTGTTAGTAAATGAAGCTCTAATGTCTATGCCTTCAGAGAACTGCATAAAGCTGCTTGTAAACTGGATGTAAGGAAATCTCACTGATGTTATAGAGAAAGACTTATGCAACCGCTTTTAGAAATATTAAGTCTTAGCATCTTATGTTCCTTTTCCATTTTTGTTCCTGTGTGGCGGGAGACCCTTGATGGCAGTTTAATGGTCGTGGGACCTTTCAGACACTCATAATGCTGGGACTGATACCTTTGTTAAAATGGGACTGTAAATAGCCTTACCGCCTCCAATCTGCCCTTCATATCCTTGGTTCCACATCTGCAGCATATGGAAAATATTTGAAAAAAATTGAGAAAGTTCCAAAAAGCAAAACAAAGTTATTGCACACAAGTAACTATTTATGTAGCATTTACATTGTATTGGGTTGGCAAAAAGTGCCTTCAGTTTTTAAGTAAAAATGAAAAACACATTTTTCATTTTCAACAAGAACTTTATTAAACAAAGTAGTTACCCTTTTGTTCCACTACCTTCTGCCATTTTTCAGGCAACTTCATAATTCCATCTTCCCAAAACTTATCTTTTTGAGCAAAGAGCTGGTCCAGGTGCCTTTTACAGTCTTCCAGATAATTGAAATTTTTTCCATGAAGAGAATTTTGTAAAGACCAAAATAAATGGAAATCCAAAGGTGCCATGTCTGGTGGATATGGCGGCTGAATCAGGACTTCCCAGGCAAGCTGTAACAGTTTTGCCTGGTCATCAAGGAAACATGCGGTCTTGCATTAACACTTTCCACTTGGAAGGTTGTGCGTTTTCTGTTGACTAATTTCAGATGCTTTTCGTTGAGTGCTACTTTCAGTTGGTCTAACTGGGAGCAGTACTTTTTGGAATTAATCGTTTAGTTTTCCAGAAGGAGCTCATAATAGAGGACTCCATTCCAATCCCACCATATACACAGCATCACCTTTGGATGACGACCGGCCTTTGGTGTGGTTGGTCGTGGTTCATTTCACTTATCCCGTGATCTCTCCATTCAGCATTATTGTACAATATCCACTTTTCATTATCCATCACAGTTTGTTTTAAAAACAGAAAGTTTTCATTACATTTAAGAAATACGGTCAGGAAGGTTTTTTTCGCTTAACTTATGGGGAACCCAAACATCAAAGCGATGAACTTAACCAATCTAGTGCAAATGATTTTCAGTGCTTGATTTGTATATTTTGAGTATGTCGGCTATTTCCCTTGTGGTATAACGTTGATTGTTCTCAGTTAATGTCTCAGTTCGATCACTGTCAACTTCAACTGGTCTACCCGACCTTGGAGCATCATCCAGCGAGAAATCTCCATGACAAAACTTCGCAAACCACTTTTGACACGTTCGCTCGGTCACAGCACCTTCTCCATACACTGAACAAATCTTTTTTTTGCGTGTCAGTTGCATTTTTATCTTTCTTGAAATAGTAAAGCATAATATGCAAAAAATGTTGCTTTTTCCCCCATCTTCAATATTAAAATGGCTACACAAAAATTCACCAATTTTGATAAATTTTTTTTTTAAAGCTGTCACAATACAGTCTAACAAAATTGTTTCAAATGAAGTAAAAGACAACTAAGTGCTACTAGAGCCATCTTACGGAAAAACACAAATGAATCTTTTGGCCAACCCAATATTTAGAACTATTTACAGAGCACATACATTGTATTAGGTATAAGTAATCTAGAGAGGTAAAGTATATGGGGGGGTTGTGCATAGGTTATATGCAAATACTACACCATTTTATATATGAGACTTGAGCATGTGTGGATTTTAGTATCCTCAGGGCGTCCTGGAACCAATCCCCCGTGGGTACTGAGGAACTACTGTACTTCACCTAGTTACTATAAGAATGTAATGACCCCATGGTTGGGAAAGCATTTTATAAATTATAGGTCATTATTTATCTTGATTTCAATTCCTTTGTTTATTAGATGTGAAAATTCGATTTAATCATTTCTAAAGTCTCTACCAGTTTGCACTGTGTGAAATTCTCTAAACTGTTACTAAGGGAGACCCAACACACATTCATTTGAACTTAGTAATTGTGTGGTAAAATTGAGCGCACAGAACATCCTCTCTGAGGGTTAGAATCCCCATCATCTGTCTACATTTTAAGCTTTGCCTAAACAAAGGGCGTTTTGCCACAAGGTGTGGTTGGCCTCCCTGACTTCAGCCTCTTCATTATGTGATGGACATAATTCTAAGACACTCTGGTTTCCCTGAATAACTTATTACCTATCTGTAATATGACATTTAAAATATTTGAAGATATTTATGTAATTACTCTCTGTCATCTGTTAAAGAAATTCCAAAAGCTTCTGGTATAACATGATCTTACCAGCACCTCACCCTTAACCAAATATAACATCATTCTCCTTGTACCCTTGTGGAACACAACTATTTTCTTCTTGTCTTTCACATTTGCGTACTGAAAAACATTTTTTACCCTTTCCTGGCATGTGGATAGATATGGCCTGGCATGTGGATAGAAGTGCATTCCTGCGGCAGGGAAGACCCGGAGAGAAGGGATCGTATAGTGCAGTGGATGTGAGAGCATGGGCGCTGGAGACAGAAAGGGTTTGCTTGCTTCCATCTTCATCACATACTGGCCATGGGCAAGTTTCTTAAATTCTGTTCCTTAGTTTCCTCATGTATAAAATGAGAATTATAATACCTGTCTCATCACTTGCTCTAAGGATTGAAGGAGATGCTGCATTAAAATTATTTAGAACAGTGCTTGACATGGTGAGTTTTATCTCACTGAATGGAGAGCCAAAAAAAAATTTTGATATGTATAGTTTGAGATACCTATTGGACCTCTGAGCAGAGATGCATGTGTATGCCATAGGATGGTGGCAGTGAAGATGCAAAGAAGTGATCCAGTTTGAGATTTATGTTGGAGGTAGGTCCGAAGAGATGTGGCAGTAGAGGGTCATGGTTGATTGGATGGACTCTGAAGACAGACTGGGTTTGCAGTTTGCATCCCATCTCCACCACTTACTAGCTAGGGGCATATAGTGTAACCTGAGTGCCTCAGTTTCCTCATGTTTGAAATGAGAAGCCTAATGGAAACTATCTCCTAGTTTGGTTCTAAGGATTAAAAGTCTAATATATCAAATGTATGGTATGTGCCAGATATTAAGGATGAAGGATCAGGAGTCACATTTTACTTGCTGAAGTGGGTTTTCAACATACAAGTGAAGATGTGTTGAATAAATGAGCGCAGGGATCACGAAAACTCAATGCTCAAGGTATAAACTGGGCACTTGTCAGCGTACTGATGGTACTTAAAGCTCCAGGACTGAATGAAATGTCACAGATTTAGTCTATGGATTGCAAAACTAATGCATGGTGTGTACTGATTATTATTAAAGGGAGAATGATCCAACAAAGTAGAAAAAAAGAAAAGATGAGAAGCGCTTCACAATTAAGGTCATTGCTCAGGTATACTCAGATGACACAGAAGTAGCAGGGAGTCAGAAATAATTGTATACCTCACTAATTTTTAGGGAAAAATCTAATTCCTAAATTAACTCATGAAACAAGTCTCATTGGAAGATCTATACCACAAATTATCCTTCATTTAACGTTTCGGTTAATGCCTTCACATTAGATTGTAGGCTTCTGGGGCTCATGTGTGTGGTGGATTTCCTTTGGTATGTCATGGCCTCTGGCATGGTGGAATGTAGTAGAAAGTGCTCACTTTAAATACCTGTTAAATTAATCATTTAATTTGGTGACTGACATATCTTTTCCTTAGCTATTGGGGCCTGAATCATTTTGTCTGAGGAAGGCATTTAAGTGGAGAGCTCGCTTTCCTGCCGTGCCCCAACTCCTTACCCCCAGTGACTGACCTTGGAAAACTGATCAAAGCTCAGTGGTCAAGTTTCAGGATACATCTTAATTTATGCATGTAGAATCCAGAAATTGTCTTTTGCCTCCTACAAAGGCCTAGGTGGAAAGTGAAAAGATAATGGGTTTGGGGTTTGAGCAAACCAATGGTGGAATTTCAGATACTCACTAGAGCAGAACCTTTGCCAGTTTCATAACATTCTGAACCATAGTGGTCTCATATAAAAAAATAGAGATGAAGACACCTACCTCATAATACTTGAAGGTGCTGAATGAGATATGTCCTCAAATGATTGTTTTATTTTCTATCCTGCAAAATATGCTTTGTCTCAGGAAGGGTTGTGGGTGTTCATAAATTCCCATTTAACTGTGTGCACCAACTACAGATACACTCTTCATCAGTTCATTGTGTGCTTAAAAAAATTCAGCCTATTTTGAAAAGGATGTATACATATATCCTTAAGTAGTGAGTGTATGTGTGTATATGTATTTGTGGCTATAAAGTTACAGAAATGTACCGTTTACTTTTACAGACATAAATTACTTTTCTTATTATTTTTAAATCGTTCTTCAAATGTAAGGAGGGATTTTTTATAATTGTAGGTTTTTTTTTGTTTTTTTTTTTTAAGAGATTTAGCAGCATTCATACTCAGGGGCTGTCATGGTCTCATTATTTCCTGGCCCCCAGAGGACAGCTGTCTTAATTAAGTACATTTAATGAGGAAAATTAATGCCTCTTTGCCTATGTTCTCCTTAAGCTACTACTGTTTCTTTACTTATTAGTGCTTGTTATAATTTATTAACCATGAATTATACATCTCTGCTCCTGCCTCCCCTCCCCAGACTGAAATTACCAGGTAGAAATTTGCATAAAGTTACAAGCCAGTCAGTTAGCTTCTTGAGAATAAAGTTGCCGTTGAACGGTTTCTTGTAGTGCTGGACGTCAGAAAAATTCGACAGCTTTTCTGGAGCCAATGCTGATTTTCATTTTCAAGCCAGGAGCTAAACATATAAATCATGTGCAGCACAGTGTACCTGTCTTTGGAAAGCTGGTTACAGTCACGTATATTTATTAGTTTTCTCCAGTTGAGAGCTGCATGTTTTCTTTGTTCTCCTGTTCTGTATCTTTGTATCTAGCAAACAACACACACACACACACACACACACATATACACACAAATTCCTTATTACAAATATGGTGCATTTTTATGACATTTTATAGCATGATTATTTTTCCCACCTTCATCTCCATACTATTGCTTCATTGGTACTTTAAATAAACTGGATTTTTTTGCTCTACGTGGCTGTTTACAAGTTGTCATTTTGTCACTAGAGGTTTTTTTTTTCTCTTAATACACCAGGTAACAGATTAATACTGTTGTCGATACATGTGAATTGACTTATTCTTTATTTGTGGATTTGTGAAAACATGTATTTCTCTTCTAAAGAGATACGCCAAATTCTCTGGTTTTTGTTTTTTTAATGAAGAGTCAGTTTTTTGAGAATTACCCAATTTACTTCATCTCTGTGCCTTGATTTTCTCTAAAAAATGGATTGTATGAGTGAATTGAAGGAGGTAATTTGTGCATGATACTTAGCACAGAGCTTAGTTTAACTCTTGTCCCTGGCTGTGGCAGTTACCTCATGAAAAGATGGGGTCCTTGATACATCTTCTTGAGTCTTGGTGGGCTTCGTTATGGCTTTTGCTAATAGAAAGGACTCTTTACCCAGCCCAGGTAGTTTCCTCCCATCTCTTGTTTTGCTGTGTCTGTGAGCTCTGAGTGGACGTGTAAATATCTGACTACCCTTGAGCCTGCAACACTGGAAGGGCCATGTGTGGGCTTTATGGTCCACTGCCTTAGCTGAGCCTAGAATTCCAGCCATTTCCATCAAGACAGCAGGCATGTGAATAAATCAGTCTTGAATGTTCCAGATTAGCCCATCTATCACAGAAACCTCTGCTCATGCCCCACACCACAGAAGAATTTCTTACCCAAGCTCTACCTGAGTTCCTGATCCATACAACCTTGAAATTTAAGAAAATGGTTGTTGCTGTATAAGCCACTCGGTTTTGGGGCAGCAGTAGATAACTGGAACACTGATATATAGAAATAAAATGGTTTTTGTATCCTGTACCATTACTAAAATCACTTAATAATATCTAATGTTTTTGTATATATATTCCGAATATTCTGAGTATACATATGATTTTCTAAATACATTTTTACCTGAGAATAATGACTTATATTCCTAACTTTCCAATGTTAATTAATTCATTATTATGCTCCCTTGCAGTGACTAGGGTTTGGTTCAATGTTGGGTAAATGTGGTGCTAGCACAAGGATAGTATGTGCTGTTTTTTATTTAAGGGGAAAAGCTGTTAGGAATACAGTATGATGTTCACTTTAGGTATTTTATAGATGCTCTCTATCAGATTAAGGAATTTCCAGTCTATTTCTAGTTTCCTAAGAATTGTTATTTTTTAATCACGTCTGCTATTAAAAACTGTTTTAAGAAATTATTTGTGTATTATTTTCTCTTGGGAATTTATAATCAAGTTGTGTACGTGTGTGGGGGGGGCGCGGGTCAGTGTCAGTGGATGGAAAATTACTAAGTGGAGACATCAAAGTTAGCGGGATTCTTGCTAAACCAACTTACCAGGATTCTTGCTGAAGGCAGGCCAGGGTGATCAGATATTGAGAGAGGGGGATAAAGAATTTGGTCAGATATCAAGGTTGATCAGACACTTTGCTGGCCCAGCAAAGACTGAGGCCAAAGGATGAGGCTTAGACAAAAAAGAGCCTCAGAAGAGCCTATCTAAAGTTTGTTCATGGAGAGAGTCTTTGTCACCAGTCAGAATATGCCAGATGCAACTTCAAGACGGTAGAATGCAAGGCAAACCCAGATCACCCAGGCCCTCATTAGCACGGAGGCCCATCTGGCCTGCCAGACTGACGGGCATTGAAATTGACTCGCTGTGTGTTTCTTGAGTGGGCTGAGCTGCTTTCTGTGGGTCACATGCTGACCATAAGGGGACCAATAGGGCAAAGACATCTGCTAGAAGAAATAGATATGCCAGCTGAGAGTAATCAGCAGCAAGGCAATAAAAGAGACCCCTGAGTCTCTACACAGGGGGCACACAGCATCCACCCCTTCCCCCACCCCTCGCTTGGTCACAGTTGCTGCTTGGCTTGTTAAAGAAAGTAAATAATAAGTGAAATCATGTCGGTGTGCAGTTTCTCTTCATATTACCTGCTCTTCACCATCTCCACTCTAGGTCCTTGTTTTGACTTTGCAGTGTAGTTGCTCAGAAGAAAAAAGTTACAACCCCTTGTATCTCTTAAAATTTCTTGCTTGGAGGATGGTTTTGCCATCTTTGCAGATATTCATACATGAGAGTTTTTCATTTATGCATAATAGTGCTGCCAATGTCCCTGACAAAATTATATCCACAGCACTGCTGGAGTCCCAGCATGGGAATCACCATGACATTGAGGAGTAGAGATTGTCCATAACATCCTCTTCATACTGGCCTAAGCCGGGGTGATTATCATGGATGCCTTCACGTTCTTTGTGTGCACATGTTGAGGGGAGGTGGTAGATAGAATTACTAAACTGTAAGGAGTCCTGGAGTGCTTGAGGAATGACCTGCCCGTGGGTTCTGGACACTTGGACCACTTGTATTTGTGCAGCAGTGGGAGAGAGAGGGGAAATCATGGGAAGACCAGTACAAACAAACCCTTGACTATCTGAAGTTATTCAGGAAACATTTTATGGCAACTGAATTTTTCTGTTCAACTCTAAGTCCTGAGAAATGAAGCCCTCTTTATTTCTT